CAAAGGCAGCTTCTTCCTCCCACCAAGCCAACAGTGGGTGTGAATTCCTAGGAAACTGTCATTCAAACCGGGTCTGCGAAGCAACAGTTCTACCATCTTCAAGGTAAACTCTCCCTATGGGAAAGACCCCCTGGGTTGCAGGTTTGGAGTCTAAAGACTGTGCCACGTGATGACTGAGTTTCCTTCCTTAGTCATTTAATTATCCTGAAGCTTGGAGTCCTCACAGTATGGGACCTCACATAAATATTTTCCCTTTTCCTGGGGCTGATGTGAGGATTGAGTGAGAGATATATGTGATCATAGTCTATTAACTGTAAATCACTCTACAAATATAAGAGTTTATTACTGTCACTTTTTTGTCTTGTGTCCCCATTTTCTTGCCCTGGAGTTGGTGGATTCATTCGTTTAGCAACCAATATTGATTACCTAAGGGGTAAAGAGTACTGGGCTAGATATACGGGAAGGAGACACAAAGACAAAAATCACAGTCCTGTTTTCAGGGGGCACGCATAAGGTGAGGGAGACAGATTCAGCTGACCAACGTACTAGTCAGACTAAGAGTACCTTGAGACTAGTTAAACAATGAGCTATAGAGTCATGAGGAAAGGAAAGATGAGTCAGAGGGTAGAATCCGGGGAGTCAAAGATTTCCCAGGTTAGGTGATAATTATACAAAGCATGAATTCATGTTCATTCATTCATTCATTAATATTTTTTGAGCACCTACTATGTGCCAGAAATTAGACTACAGATGGTCCCCAACTTATGATGGTTCGACTTATGATTTTTATTTTACAATGGTGAGAAAGTGATATGTATTCAATAGAAGTGCTACTTCAGATTTTGAAGTTTGATCTTTTCCTGGGCTAGTGAGACGCGGTACGATCCTCTCTCTCGTGGCTGGGCGGCGGCAGTGGGCCGCAGCTCCCAGCCAGCCATGCGGTCATGCAAGTAAACAACTGATAGACTTACAACCATTCTGCCCTCATACAACCACTCTGTTTTTCACTTTCAGTATAGTATTCAGTAAATTCCATGAGATAGTCAACACTTCATTATAAAAGGCTTTGTGTTAGAGGATTTCACCCAACCGTAGGCTAATGTAAATGTTCTGAGCCCAGTTAAAGTAGGCTAGGCTAAGCTATGATGTTTGGTAGGTTAGGTGTATTAAATGCATTTTTGACTTAAGATATTTTCAATTTACAATGGGTTTATCAGGATGTAACCCCATCACAAGTCAAGGAAGATCTGTAGTCATTGTGGATACAAAAATGAAACGCACGTACTGTCTTCACAGAAAAACAGAGGAGGTAGATGAATAATTGTTTAATTACAATTATGCTAAGTTCTATGAAAGAAATACAGGGAACAATAAGAACGTATTACAAAGGGACATAACCTAAGTGAGGAAGTTAAGAAAGGCACCCTAAGGAGGTGACATTCAAGCTGAGAGCTGAAGGACCAAGAGCAGGTATCCAGACAAAGATGGTGAGGATAAATATTCCATGTGGCAGAAACAGAATGTGTAAGGGCCCTGTGGTAGGAAGTTGGAAAGGTGCTGAAGAAGGTCACTGGAACTAGAATACAGGGAACAAGATGCAAAGTGTGATGAGATGAGACAAGAGATATAGGCAGATACCAGGTCTTATAGGGCCTTGGGGCCTGCATTCATGAATTGGACTTTAAGAGCAGTGAGAAACATTGAAAGGTTTTAAGCAAAGGGTGACATAATCAGACATGTATTTTTAAAAGATTACTTTGCAGAGAATGGGTGGGCGGAGGTAAGAACAGACCTAGGGAGACCATATTGGAGGCTATTGTGGGAGGCCAGGCCAGAGAAGATGATGACTTAGATTGTAGTATTCAGTGCGGAAATGGAGAAGTTGATAAATCTGAGAAATAGAAAGTTGAGCTGATAGGATTTGGTGTTTGAATAGATATGTTGAGGATGGGGGGAGCAAGTTTGGAGAGGAGGATGATGAGTTTGGTGTGAACAAGTAGAATTTCAGGTACTTGGAAGCCATCCAAGTGGCTTTGTCCATTAGAGAATTGGATATATAGAACTGGAGCACAGAGGAGAAGTCTGGATTGGAAATACAAATTTGGGAATCATTTAGACACTAAATGAAGTCATAAGCTCTAGTGATCACTAGAGGGTGGCATTGGAAGAAAAAGATTTAGGACCAAGCTTTATTGAACTCCAGCATTTAATGTTGGAGTTGAAAGAGGTCAGTTAGCTAAGGATTGTGGAAAAAGGAGACACAGAATGTGAACAACCTTAAATGCAAAGGACAAAAAGAAGGAGAACTACTATTTCCTGAATGACTTCTATGTCCTGGGTGTTTTCACATACATTGTCTTGCTTAATCCTCATGTAAACCCGGTGAGTCAGGTAAGCATTCTTTTCCTCACTTTTCCCACTGAAAAAATAGGTGTTCAGAGAAGTTGAATAATTTACTTAGGGTCACACATCTTGTAAGCAACGGGATTCCAGTCTCCTTCCCGTGTTGGAGGATGTGGGCAAGTGCCTTGCCAGGTGGTGACCTTGGGTGGGGAACATAGGGCTGGATTCTTTTCTATCCAGTACTGTAGTGCCAAGCAGTTTAGCCAAGGCAGAGAAAGGGTAGTCCAAAACCCAAAGCCAAGTGCAACAAGAAAACAGTTCAAGAGCCAAATGGTCCATTCAGAAGTCAGGTTGCTAGAGCCAAGAGAGGTTAGTCTACAAAGCCAAAACCTCACCCAGTAATTGGTCCAAAAGCCAAGTTAATCGCAAGCAGTAGAACTTGATCAAAGAGAGGGCTAAGGCAGGCCAGGAAATTTCAGAAGTGGGGAAGCCACCAGCTAAGTTTCAAGCTTCCGAATGAGCTGGCGTTTGGGAGCTGGGGATTTGAAGACAGGGAAGAGGTGAAGAGACAGTTTTTGTAGAGTTGAAGAACTAAACAAATCCTCCATCTGGATCTCATTCAGAGAGTAAGGACAACTCAGCCCCATTGCATAGATTCAGTTCCCCTCTGCAGAGTGGAACATGGATAGGAAACCAGCTTGGTCCCTGGACTTGAGGAATTATACCTGAGTTGTATCCTAGAGGAAAAAATATGAAGAGCCCAAAATGGAACACGAAAAACAGACCTGGTCTCTCCAGGATACTCAAGGAAGCAGAAGCTGTCAGACAAACCCAAGCCAGGCCACATGCATGTATTGAGGACTTGCTTTAAAAAGTGTCTTCTCATTGGTACGATACATTATGATCCATAATTTCACTTGAGTCTCAGACCACTTCATCAGGAAACTGTTATTTCTCTCCCCTTCTCCAATTGTTTTAAACAGACGAGGAAACTAAGGCTAGGAAAAGGTAAATGACTGCCCAAAGTCACACAATTGGATGGAGACCAGAGCTGCAACTTGAATCCAAGTCTTGTTTTACACAAATTCTGGGTCTCTGCTATAGAAAAGAAATTGGTTGGGGAAGGCTGCACAGAGGAGGAGGTTCTTGATATGCCTAAGTGGCAGGGCACCAAGTACAGAATGGTGAGAAGGTCTTCTTGACAAAGGCACAAAGGTGAACACAGCAGAGCCAGAAAGAAACAAAAAATGGTTCCTAGAATGTGAGCTCCTTGAGGACAAGAAGGTCCTGCTACTAGAATGAGGCCTGGAGTTTAGCAGGTGCTAAAGCTGTTTGAAGGAATGAATGTCTAGAACACAGGTTCTCTATAGGAAATTAACTGGAAGTGAGGCTGCGAAGTGGCAAGAGTCAGAAGATGGAGATGTTTTTATACAATATGGAAGGCTGCTGTTGGAGGAGGGGAAAGGACCAGGGTGCATGTGCAGAGAAGATGTGAGGAGAGAATCAGCTGGAAGGTGGCTCCAGGGGAGAGAAGACAATGAGGGCTAGAAATAAACCAGGGTAGACAGAGAAAAGGACAGACTCAAGAAACATTTAGGAGTTAGAATGCCTGGCGATACTTTTAAGGGTAAGGATGACACGTACAGGTCTGCAGGCAGAAAGGCATGAGCAGAAGAGAGACAGAGGATGCTGGCTGTGGAGGGAACAAGTGTGGGTAGTGGATACCCCGCTCCCCCCGCAGGTAGGCTGCAACCTCAACAGTCACTCCTGGGGTTGCAGGCCAGAGAGGGAGGGGCCTCCTGGACTGGAGAAGTCATTAGCAACCTGCCAGAACCGGGTTAACAAAGGCAGGACTACAACTCCCAGCATGCCACAGCCTAGTGGGGTGACGGCGGGCGGTGGCTGCGCTGCACTCGCCTGGTGGGCGCAGGACCTGGGTCGGCACCAGAGCCTGTCATTCCGGAGGGGTCTGCAGGGGTGCGGACTGACGATGCACCCTGGTCCCCAG